GAGATTTCCCAGACCTCTGAATAATAGCCCTTCCCCCACCCCCATAATTCCTCTGTGTTTACTTGGTATATTTATGTTGTGAACACCCCCACCCCACCCCACTCCTCCTCCCGTTGGAGGACATTTTGGTCCTGGTATCTCCAGAACTAGCATGGTGTCTCAAATATAATAGGAGCTTAATACATGCTCATTGAATTGAATTGGAGTTAGAGAAGAAATACAGGTTATGCTAGAAGTCTTTGTGCAGTTTTAAGCTATGAGACTTTGGGGGCATTCTGGATATTGATTATAAAGTTGTTTGTTTTTCAAATGAGGCTCACCCTGTGCTGGCATTTCTTCAAGTCCAAGGGCCAAGACTTGGCTTTGCACTGTCTGTTCCCCCAGGCTCTCGGGCCACTTTTTGCAGGAGCCTTTCCTCTGTCCGTCCCCTGCCCCCAGTCCAGCTGTTGGTGCCGTTCTCTCTAAGGCAGCTCATCTTGTCGGTGTCTTTTTGTGTTGATGTGGTTGGAGTGCTTAATGTATGCTTATTTGTCGATCAATAGGCCTCTGGTACCAGTGGGTTACAAAGGGCGGTTAGATGGGCTCAGTAGGCCTAGAGTCAGGAAGACCTAAGTTCAAATCCAACCTCAGACACTTCCTAGTTGTGTGACCTTGGGCAAGTCACTTAATCCTGTTTGCCTCTGTTTCTTCATCTGTCAAATGAGCTGGAGAAGGAAATGGCAAACCGCTCCAATATCTCTGCCAAGAAAATCCCATGGACATTATTGGCATCATGTAGTCCATGGGGTCAGGAAGAGCAGGACAGAACTCGGCAACAACCAGTAAGTACATATAGCAATGATCCCGGTATCCTCTGGACAATGGCGGTGGCTGGGCCCCATAGTAAAGCACTCTTTCACTGGCAGTGACTAATGAGGCTTCTGGGCCCATGTCCTCACACCATCCCTTTCCCCTTCGTTCCATCCACTGGCCAAAAGAATTTTCCACCTTTGGTCTACTTTAAACTCGATAAAAGTGTTGGACAGTAATGGAAATTGGGGAATATGTACAGGGGAACAGCTCTGGGGCCTCCTGTGACATTCAACCAGGAGGCATTTCAGTTCCCTCAGTAAAGAGCATTCTCACACCACTGGTTCTAAATTAGGCCAGAGATACTCCCACCGTGACTTTCCCAGAACATAGAAAGGATTTGACTAAGTGTCTCTTCAAGACAACAAATACATGCCAAAGACACTAACAAAGACTTCCCCTTTCTAAGATCTTTTGTTTCTTCTCTTCCCTGCCCTCCCCCCCTTTTTTTTTGGTGAGGCAATTGGGATTAAGTGACTTTCCCAGGGTCACACAGCTAGTAAGTGTTATGTGTCTGAGGCTGGATTTGAACTCAGGTCCTCCTGAATCCAGGGCCGGTGCTCTATCCACTGCACCACCTAGCTGCCTCTCCCTCCCCCTTTTTTACCGTATAAAGAGAAAATGCAGAGAAATACAGGTTTATGGAGCTCCGCAGGAGGAGGAAATCTGGTGCCTTTCGCTTGGGGTATGAAATAGAAAAGAGCAATAGATTTGGACTTGGAGAACCCGGGTTCAAGTTCTACCACAACTTCCTTGACCTCTTTGGGCCTCTGTATAAGGAGGAGGTGGCTGAGATGACCCCAGAGCCTCTGCTGCTATGATCTTCCTCAAAAAGCAGATAGCCCTTTGTATTTAGTGGGCTGTGACTAGAAACAGAACAGTCAGAAGGCATTTCTTGCATTTGGGCTCCAGACAACAAACACCCTCCCCCTGAGAGCAACACTGAGTGTAGTCCACATTTGCAGGATGTGTAGACAGGTGGATAGAAGCCAAGTGGATAGGGAAGGGTTGGGGGCAGGGGAAGACTTTTCTCTAGACCACCCTCTGGTAGCTTTCCGTTTTAAGTAATTCTTGCTAAGGAGGTGCGAAATTCTCCTGTTTTGGTGCTGCTGAAGAACAGAAAGTGATATCCACACCCTCAGATTAGGCGTCCTGGACCAAGCCCTAAACTGTCCCACCCTAGGTATAGCCCCTCCCTCCCAGAGTTGTTGTGTGGCCAGTGCCAGGCACATAGTAGGTGCTTAATAAATGCTTGTTCCCTTCCCTTGTCCTTTTGTAGTTGAGAGGTTGTTTTTCTAAGATCAGGCAGGGAATCAGTGGCAGCACCAGATTCCAAGGTCTGCATCGTGTCCTGCGCCAAGCATGGTGACTTGCATTCAATCAAGCTCTGTTGAGCTCCTACTGTGTGTCAGGCTCAGTGCTAGGTGCTGCGGGTATAAAGGTCGGCCTGAAGCTGTCCCTGCCTTCAGGGAGCTCCGATTGCACTGGGGTGGGCAGAGAACCAGCATGGTCATAGAGCAGGGGGAGGTGTGGTGGGACGGATCCCTGACTGCCATCTCATGCAAGCCCTGGGAGCGATCACGCAGCCCCACCACTCCAGGAAGGGAAGGAGGAGAGAGCACCTGGGGGGAAGGGTCTTCTGGACCCCCAGCCTTCCCAGATGGGGCCAGGGGAGAGGGTATGCAGGTGAGAAGAGAGCCCCCTAGTGGCCGTGGACTGTGATTCCAGTCTAATGTTCCAAATTCAGCATTCTTATAAGCCTCTAACTTCGAAGCTCCCAATTTAGAACCCCCTGCATATCATAGGAATAAGAAGAATTTGTGACCTTGGATGAGTCACTCCATGACTCAGTTTTCTCATCTGTCAAAAGAAAGAGATGAGAAGTCCTCCAAGATTCCTCCTAGCTCTAATATTTTAAGTTTTAGGAGCACAATTTGGACACCCCTTTGACATAAAGAGATAAGGAAGGCACAAGGTCTTGAATGCTGTCGGCTCTCACCCAATGTTCATTTTAGCTGACAAGTGATCAATGGCAATAGAGTTCCCAAGCGTCCCATTTTTCTCCAGTGAATATTGTCCTAAGTGTTTTAGGTTGGGTGCTAAAAACCAAAACCAAAACCAGAGAGGCTGTGGCACCTTCGCAAGCCAAGGAAAAGAATGCTGAGTCGCAGGCAGTGAGTCATCTGTTCCACTCAGTGTGGCTCTGGCTCCAAGAGGCCCAGAACATCTGAAACATGTCCGTGGTCAACTTCCTCCTGGATGGGGCAGAAACCTCAAGGACAAATTTAATGTGGCCTTTAGACCTAGGAATCTCTGGGTGTGTCACAGGATTTAGGGCTAGACATCATTCAAAGCCCTTGTTTTACTACTATAATCCACCCTCCACAGAGCTGCCAAATGGATATTCCTCCAACATGGATGGGACTGTGCCACTCCCTAGCTCAAGAATCCCTGGTGGCTTCCTATGGCCTCGAGAAGGAAGCATCAACTCCTCCGGCTGGCTTTCAAGCTCCTACAAAATCTGACTCTTCCATGAATGTCCAGCCCCATTCAGTCCCATATATACTTCCATATATATACTCCCATATTCTCCTTTCTAGTGTTCCCCGGAGGGGACATGCCCTCCTCCCATGGCCCAGATGTTATATGGGCTGCCTAGAATGCTTCTTCTCTCCTTTACTTTCTTCAAAGCAACAGCTCACAGGCTACCTCCTTCAGAAGGTATTTATTCGTCCCACAAACTGGAAAGGAGTCTGGAATTGGAGCTGAGGACCTGTGTTCAAATTCTGCCATTGCTGACAGATGCCTGTGTGACCTCAGCTCTCTGGGCTTTGAATCTTCATCTGTAAAAAGAAGATGACTTTTGAGGTCCCTTCTAGCCCTAAATCTGTGATTCTGCTTTCTAATTTTGTGCACATATGTGACACACATGCATCCTTATGCACGGCCTCTGACTACCACAGAGTCCATAGAATGTGAGCTACTTAAATAGGGGCTTTCTGGCCCCAATGCCAAGCACGTCTTCAAGTTCCTTGAATTCAGGGTCTTTTGTTGTGATTGGCGGTTGTCTTTTTCTGCCTAGCTTCTAGACATCTAGCAGGGGCTTACCATCTATGGAATTACAGCCTGTTTTGTGCCGCTGGCTCTTCTTTAAGTCTACAATAAATTTAGTTTATAGCTTCCAAAGGTGCCTTGCTTGTTTTTCTTCCCATTCCCCCCCTCCCAACTCCATTAAAATGCTTTAGTGTTCTTTCTTTTTCTGCACATTTATCACTGGTCTCTCTCTTCCAACTCCACAGCCACTGGGAAAAAATTAAAAGAAAGAATTAAAACCCTGCATAGTAAAGGGAACCGAATTCCCACTTTGGTCCCCATCTAAAACAGCATAACGACAGTTTATTCTGTGCTGGAGGCAGGATTTGAACTCAAGTCTTCTTATTCCCATTGTATGGCACTGAGGGAAACTGAGGTCCAGTGAGGGGAAGAGATTTGCCCAAGGTCACACAGGGGGTCAGTAGCAGCTCCAGGATTGAATTCAAGTTCTCTCTCTCCAAACTTATTTCCCTCTGTACCATCCCTAATGTCCTCCCTTAGCTGGTCTCCGGAGGAAGCCCGTCCAAGCAACAGGGTCCAGGGAAAGGGATCAGGAGGAGCTCTCTCTCAGAGCTTTCATGAAGGTCAAAGCAACAGGCCCAGTGTTCCTGGGGGGCTTGCGAGCGATCCCCTGGAGGGTGGCACTGCCCTTCCAGGGCAAGGCACAGCCCAGGCCGGATGGCGAGTCAGGGGGCGGCTCTTTAGCCGACTGCGTCGCTGACATCCACACGGGGAACAAACACCCCAGGGGGCTGCTTTGTCCCAGGACCCGCCCAAGCTGCCGCAGATCTCTCCCACTTGGTGCTCCTCCCTCCCCGCCCCCGCCCCCGCCCCCGCCCCTTCCCCCCTGGCACCCAGCCGCACTGCTGCCGCTGCTCGCTAGGCTGGCAGCTGACGGACGCTGGGGCCACCGCGCTGTCCCCAGCTCCTGCAGCCTCCGCCTCGGCTGGGAGTGGCCCCAGCTGTCTGGGGACCCGGGGGTTGGGGTGGGGGTCTTTGGTCACGTGGGCCAGGGCCAGCTGTTACCTGAGGGTGGGGGTGGTGGGAGAGCAGGGAGGGGGGCGGGGAAGCACCCGCAAGGCACTCGGGCAGTTTCTGCTACAGCCACTGCAGCCCGGGCTTCCGCCGCCGCCGCCGCAGCAGCAGCAGCCGCCGCCGGGGAGCCCAGAGACAGAGCGAGCCGGGGAGAGAGAGAGCGTCCAGCCAGGTGAGCCCTCGGTGCAGAGCATCTCGCAGGGGCTGCTGCCCGCGGGGCACGGAGCAGCTAGGGGCCACTGTCCGGTTTACTCTGAACTGGAGCCCGGGGCGGCCCCTTTCCCCGCGGTTCTCCCCCCACCCCCATCCCTTCCACCCTGGTTTTGGTCCTCAGTCACGATCACGATCAGACTGCCGTGGCTGTATGGTTGGTATGCGTGCTACAGCTCCGTTAGACCGTAGAGGGGGAGAGAGACTGGACAGCCAAGCAAGGACCCTGGGCCCTCCTTCAACCCCACTGCCCCTCCTCCCTTCTTTCTTTCCAAGGTACAGCTCCCCAAGTTGCATCTTTGTGGGTGCGTGGGCAAATGTCGCTCCGTGTGCGTGCCGTCCATCCTTTCGTGCTTCTCCTCCTGCATCCTTCCTGCCCTCCTTGCCCGCCCCATTGTCCTCCCGGGTGTTGCGGGGGGGGGGGAGGGGAAGAAGGCTTCGCTTCTGCATCCCCCGTGTTTGGCCTGGCACAAACAAGCTGTCCAGCCACCCTCTCCTTTTCCCGAGAGTTCCCGTACCTGTCTGGAGGACTCTAACATGGCTGCCTAGTCTCCCCTTACAGACCTCCTGCCCGTGCCCTTGACCAGCCTACCTCACACTCCGGGCTTCGTTTGCTGAGTTTCACTCTGGAGCGGATTTAATGAGCCCGGAGGCCATTCCCGCCGTCTGCCTCCCACCCCCATGCCCCTGGGGTCCCCTAGCTGTGCTGTCGCAGAGACAGTGGGCAGCAGACATTCCTTCCCCTTCGCTTCACCTTGGGGTGCGCCTGGGGCTGGGGCTGGGGGATCCTTGAAGGGCCGGCCCCTGGGCCCTGTTGCATGTTTGCGCTTGAGTGAGTGGCGGCTCATTCACTGCCCTCCTTGTCTTTGCATCTAAGATTCTAGCCTCAGGCTGCCTGGGCCGCCCCTGCCTTCCTGGAGGGGTGATGTTTGCGGTCCTTCCGAGCCCAAGGAAAGAAGAAAGAAAAAAGTTTTATGTTTCATGATTTTGAAAACGTGAGTCATGCTTAGAGAGGGGGTGAACATCAGTCACGCCACGATGCCTTTTAATGCTGGCGTCACTCACTGGCAAGGCTGACTCGGGGTTTGAGTCTGGCATTTAGGGTTCGGCAGGGTCCTTGGATTTTCTGTTTAAATACAGGAGCCTCACAACCGCCTCAGGATATCTTTGTCACTTATATTTGCTGATGAGAATATGGTGACTGCCTGTGCCTATCCTGCCCAGATGATGCAGCATTTTGGGAAGAAATTTGTCTTAACAATTCAAAATGGCAGCATGCTAAATCAGTTGTTTTTGTTGTTTTTGTTTTTTTTAAGAGAAACGGCCAGTTCAACGTCAATATATTTTCCATATGGCATTAAGCTTCTGATGGAAAGACCAATAGCTACCCAACACATTTTTGCTGTATTCAGCAGAGAAGTCAGAGGCTGCTTCTTGCAACGAGGCTCAGATTTTAGGAGAGGGATAGGTTTGAGGTGGGATGCTAAGTGTGTGTATGTATGTGTGCAGCCCGGTGGATGGAGGTTTGAACCTGGAGTCTAGAGGATTAAAATAAAATCCTGCCTCAGACACTGAGTGGCTCCTAGCCCACTCTCAGGCTCAGTTTTTTCCCCTTTGTAAAATAAGATAATAATAACACCTACTTCTCTCAGCTTCTGTATCTTCATCTGGAAAAGGGGGCAAATAATGTTGCCTACTTCACAGGACTGATTCCAGGATCAAATGAAATAACACGGCACAAGTGCTTAGAGATATATATAAATGCTCATTATTGTTATCAAGTCTTGGCTACCCTAATGACTTTTCCCCTCTTCCAAAGCACTAACCCTCCAATGTGAAGGAATTAGAACTGGAAAGTCCAATCATCTAGAGATCATCTAGTCATTTTCTAGATAATGAAACTGAGGCCTAAAGAATGGGAATGGCTTGCCCAAGGTAGCAGAACAATCGTGGAACAGAGTCAGGATTGGAACTCAGGTCTTTAGACTTGGAGGCTGGTGTTCATTCTGCTGCTCAGTGAGCCTCCTGTGCTGTGGGATTTGACTGGCCTAGATGCTTAGTTTCTTTGAGTGAATAAAAAGTTGGTTGGTTTGCTGACCTGCTGAAGAATAACTTCTGTATTAAATTTGCATACCACTCTCTCTAAGGTTTCTTTCCTTTCCCTCTGTCTTTTCTCTTGTATATTTTGTTTTACATATTTTGACTCCTTTATTAGAATAGAAGTGTCTGCATGATAGGGATGTTTTTGCTTGCCCTGAACATAGTAAATGCTAATAAATGTTCATTGGATGATTGATATGGGATCGGATGCTTGTTTGTTCTTACACTTTTTTTTTAACATGGAATCTGGCCTTCTTTGTCAAGTAAGAGGTATCATTTAGATTGGGCACCATAGATTCATTAAACAAATATTTATTAAATACCTACTATGTAGCAGGAATAGGAGTAAAAAGACCAACAGGAAATGGGCCTAGACTTCAAGCATCTTATGTTCTTGGCAACATGCACACAGACAAATCAATAGAAAATATGTACAAAGGTGTTTTTTTTGGGGGGGGAGGGGACACTAACAATTGGAGGTATCAGGAAATGCATGTAGGAGATGCCATTTGAGCTGAGCCCTGAAGGGAAGTTCCGGGTTCCAAGTGACAAAGAAGTGCCTTTCAGGCTTGGGGGGGACAGCCTGTGCAAAGGGAGATGAACTGTGTGTCCAGGGCCCAGCAGGTGGGAATAGACAGTCTGTGGCGGGGAATAATGTGACTTCGGGCCAGAAGGATAGGCTGGGGCAAGAACATAAAGCGCTTTACATATTTGATAGAGAAGTTGGTATTTTAGCCATCAGGAGTCCCTGAAGTTTCTTGAGCTGGGGAGTGACAGGGCTATTATGTGATATTAGCACATACAGCTCTCTGAATGTAGGTAGAGTATCTACAGTCAAGCATCATTGGACTACTTGGTGTGTTTTCCTCATGGAAGGGGGATTAAAGTATTCTATTAAATAGTTCAACTCAACAGACATTTATTAAACCTACTACTTATTACAGTATATGACAGATTCTCTGTTCAGCAATGGAGATTCAAAGACAAAACAGAAATAGTCCTTGTCTTGCCAAGGAGCTTACCTTAAACTGCAGCATACACATGATTTAAATAGATATAGGGAGAGAGCACCTAAGCCTAGGAGGATCCATTACATTAAACAGGCATTTCTTGAATGCCTACTGTGCACCAGGCACTGTGCTGGGATATAACCCAGGGACTGCCTCGGGTTTGTATTTGCACCCTTAGTGGTGAGCAATTTGGGGATATAGTGCTTAAAAGGCTTTTGACACAAAGGCAACACCTGCCCTCAATGAGCTCATATTTTATCTAGCAAACTTATGCATTTACATAGTGGAAGGATACCAAGAGAGACAGTATATTGGAGTAGATAGAGGGACGGCAAAATGTGTGTTTGAGCCTTCCAGTTGATGCATCCCAGCTGAAGGATTAAGCTCTTAGTGCATGGGGAACTTACTGCTAGTTAGAGAATAATTGGTGATCTACATTTGTGGAGAAGGTTTTCTCATTAAGAGCTCTCCACATGCAGAGAGAGAGAGAGAGAGAGAGAGAGAGAGAGAGAGAGAGAGAGAGAGAGAGAGAGAGAGAGAGAGAGAGAGAGAGAGACAGAGACAGAGAGAGAGAGAGACAGAGAGAGACAGAGAGAGACAGAGACAGAGAGAGAGACAGAGAGAGACAGAGAGAGAGAGACAGAGAGAGACAGAGACAGAGAGAGACAGAGAGACAGAGAGGCAGAGAGAGAGAAGGAGAAAGAGAGAGGAGAGAGAGGAGAGAGACATAGAGACAGAGAGAGAGACAGAGATAGAGAGAGAGAAGGAAAGAGAGAAAAGGAGAGAGAGACAGAGACAGAGAGAGACAGAGAAAGACAGAGACAGAGAGACAGAGACAGAGACAGAGAGAGAAGGAGAGAGACAGAGAGACAGAGATAGAGAGAGAGAAGGAAAGAGAGAGGAGAGAGAGACAGAGAGAGAGAAGAGGAGAGAGAGAGACAGAGACAGAGACAGAGAGAGACAGAGACAGAGAGAGACAGAGACACAGAGGCAGAGAGAGAGACAGACAGAGAGAGAAGGAGAGAGACATAGAGACAGAGAGAGAGACAGACAGAGAGACAAAGAGAGAGACAGAGATAGAGAGAGAGAAGGAAAGAGAGAAAAGGAGAGAGAGAGAGACAGAGAGAGACAGAGAAAGACAGACAGAGAGACAGAGACAGAGACAGAGAGGCAGAGACAGAGAGAGAGAGAAGAGGAGAGAGAGAAAGACATAGAGAGAGACAGAAAGAGAGAGAGAGAGACACACCACACAGAGGGAGACAGAGAGAGAAAGAGAGAGAGAGAGACAAAGAGACAGAGAGAGAATAAGAGAAGGAGAGAGAGGGAGGACAGACAGAGAGAGACACACACACACACAGAGACAGACAGAGACAGAGAGAGAGAAAGAGAGAGAGAGAGAGAGAGAGAGAGAGAGACACAGAGAGACAGAGACAGAAGAAGAGAGGGAGGGAGAAAGAAAGAGATCCAAAGAGACAGACAGAGATGACAGGTAGACAGATGTCAGGGAATCAGAACATCTGTATAGGAAAACGCTATTTCTTTATCTTAAATTCTGGATGCTTTGAGCAGTGTTCAGAATGCCTCCTCTCCTCACCTGCCTGTCTTAAAATCTTTGTGCCCCCTTCTGAGCACGGTTCAGGTGCCGCCTCTCACAGAGGCCTTCACTGAATCTTTCGCCTACTTCCTTCTTGAAATGAGATTACCTGATGATATTGTAAATGTGTTGCATGTTCCCTCATGTAGAAGTTAAGGTCCTTGAAGGCAGGATTGGTTTGTCCCGTGTCATCTGTGTCATCACCAAGAACACAACCAGGAGCTTTAAAATGTTTGAATTAAATTGTATCTTAGGATG